TATTCACTGAAGTTGTAGAGAATGTTTGAAAGACACCATCAAATAATTAAAGCGAAGGAGAGGTCATTTAGCGAGTACACAAGAATGAGGCTGGCTTGCATTAAAAACCATTCAACTCCCCGTGTGTAACTTTACTGACCTCAACTGTCCATTTGGCAACTGAATTATGGGGATTCTATTAATTTCCTTCTTCTGACCACCTGGGTTTATGATTTCTGGGTTTGTTCACAAAAGAGGTATATTAGTTTTGAAGTGTTGCTATAGAATTACCACAAACTTGACGGCTTTAAACCAACAGAAGTTTATTCCCTCACAGTTCTGAAGTCCAGAGGAAATTTCCCAAGGCTCTCGAGGAGAATGCTTCCTTGCCGCTTCTGGGATCTGGTGGCTCAGGAGCCACCCTTGGCTTTTGGGTGGCATCCTTCCTGTCCGCCTCTGCCTCCCCACAGCCTCTTTGTCTCCCTGCACCTCTTCTGTCTTCCCTGTATATCTCTTAGGAGGCTACTTGGCCACCTGGATAATCCAAGATGACCTCATTCCAAGATCCTTAACTTAATTACATCTGCAAAGACCCTTTTCCCAAAGAAGGTCTCATTCACAAGGTTCTAGGGGTTAGGATATGAACTTATCTTTTGGGGGCCACCATTCAACCCACTACAGCTGGTGATGTAGACGGACCAACCCCAGAGTGTGCAGCCCTTCATAAACATTGCAATGCACAAAAAAGCTACTCAAGTATCAATCCCTGGATACCTAATGAAGTTCACTTCCTGGGTTTTTATTTTATATTTTTGGAGATAAAGTATAAGTACATGAAAAGACACTCTAAAAAAAGAAAAGTCCAAATGATTAAGATTCTAATTAAAAGTATCAACAGGAAGAAAAATGGTGCCCTTAGAATCAGGGGACGGTTTGCCAAAAAAAAAATTCCTATCAGAAAGGGGAGATTATATATATATTATATGTATATTTTAGTGAAGGGCCTTTACAAATGGAAGAAGTGATTCCAGAAAAGGCACAGAAACAGAAGGAGGTCAAGCAAGCAACATGACACAAATGGGTCCAGTTTTATTGGAAAGGCTGAGGCTAAGCAGTCCCAAGAATTGAGGCTGAGAGAAGTAGACAAGCAGGTGCCAACATCATCCTTTACCATTTGCCGGTGTTATAAAAGTAGTGACATCTTAAAAGACGTCTCAGCCATAGTTTGGGTTAAATGTAAAAATGAGAAGCTGGAAAATATGCAGACACAGTAAGATAAGAATCTAGAATCTCCGAACTATTAGAACTGAAAGGCACCTTAAAATAATATCTTATCAGTGATAGCACTGGCCCAACCCCTATATTTGAAGCCATTTACAAATGTTTTTTTTGTGTTTGGATGGATCACCTCCTTCAATGCTCACAAAGATCCTGTGGGATAAGCAGGGCAGGTATCATTGTACCCATTTTCCAGATAAGTCACTGGAGGCTTGGAGGGGATGTAGCTTGGCGGAGCTGGTGTTCCGTAAGGGATATGTGAGGAGTAGAGAGCTGATGTACCCGTGAACACGCTGACCTTTGGGAACTGTGGCGTTTCCAGCTAAGCCCTCCTCTGCCCTCATTCCTTACCCTCATGGAGGTCTGGCTTTGCATGGTAGACTTCTGGACCTTTCCCATTCTAACTTAATCTCTCAAAACATCTGTGACCTTTTCTCTCCCAACCTGTAACCCCTGGTTCACCTTAGAGGGGGGAATGAAAATCAAACAGGATGCTCGTTTTCCTAGCCTGAGGTCCAGAGAATATTTATTTTTAGGATTGATTAAAATGCACTCTTGTAATCACAGAAGACTGGATCTTAGCAAGTTCAATTCAATGAGAAAGACCAGGTAAGTTTGGTTTAGGGGATATAGAAGAGCAGGCCTGGGTTTGCCTCCTAGCCCCCTGACTGTATGGTCTGGGATAAACTCTACAACGCTTAAGAGTCTCTCTTTCAATCAGAAAAATATGAATAAAAATAATTCCAGATCAAAGGGCTGTTGGGAGAATCAAACAATGAAATGCATCTGAGAGCAAGAAAATCCAAGACGAATATTAGATACAATGTTCATTATCCTCAGGATCTACAGATAGCACTGCAGCTGGACATCTGACTCTCTAGTGATGACCCCCAACAGTCCTTCAGCCAAATTTCCAGGAACATGTGTACACGGCTATAAGTGATGCAAATATGTTCTGTATAGCCGAAACCCAAAATGATACTAATGTTGCGTAGAGTGCAGATTAGAAAATGAATCTACAATTTTAGCATGAGGAGTAAAATATGACCTGTACTTGGATTTATTGGAATTCATAAATCACAATGACAGTGTACTTAATTAAAATTAAGGAACAGGAAGGCAGAAGACCTAAGGAAAGACAGACATGTTGGACAGCCATATTAGTCCTGATAATGAAAGTGTGACAACATTTGAGTTAGGATGAGAGAGAAACAGAACCAATACAGATATGAACGTGAGATACCTATTCACATGTCCTGGAGATTCCCCAGCCACCCAGCCAGACAGGAACAGTCTGTGATGCCCTGGTTTATGGAGATTACGGACCAAGCTGGCTCAGATGGGAGATGTCAACTCTAGGACATCTGCTAATAGGGTCACTCCACCAAAACACAGTTGCATTCCATGCTCACTCTCTCTAATATACTCTAGCAGAAGGTAGAGAAAGCAATGGAAGGGAACAGTTACTCAGGACTTCATTGCAACTCATAACTGCTGGTGCTGAGCCAATCCCTGGTGGGTGACAGTTCATTCAGCAAAAATTTATCAAATGCTCCGTACATTCTACCCTCCTGTCAGAGCTGTCACAGTAGAGCAAACAGCAAACAATACACATTTCCACCCTCGTGAAGCTCACGGTTTAATGAGAAGCAAAGCAAGAGTGATGGGAACTTTAGGCTAATGTGACTATTGAAGACCACTCAAACTTTTGCTTAAGTGAAATATCAGCCTCCTTGAGAAACTGGAATTGAAAACACAGAACCATCAGAAACCAAAGTAGTTTCTCTCTCATCACTGTCTCTCTTTGGGTTTACACAGGCTCTGTCTCTGTTCTTGACCTAGCCACTTCATTTTTCTCCTTTCACGAACTGGTCTTCTCTTCCTCTAAGGCCACGCTAGAGGACATCCATCAGCAGCCCTAAGTACCAGAAACCTAACCGAGACAGATTAGTGCTGCCTTCTCACAGCCCCAACATCCCCAAAGAGAAAACCTGAATGATCCAGGGGAGTCCAGTCACCTAAGGTGGAGGAGACAGGGCTACTTGCAGGACCCTTTGGGAGCAGAATCTTTCAGAAGGGAATGCCGAGCAAATTGTCTAAGAGGAGGTACAGAAAAGAGTAAACCGACAGCAGTTCCTGTTTTCTCCCTAGTCACCTTTGCTAATAAGGAAGACCATGGCAGCCACCACCAGCCACACATTCTAAACTTAGGTTTCAGGAAGTTCAGAAATCCAAGGGCAGAAGACGTAAAGGAAAAGAAAGCTAGTTGTTCTATAACAAATATAAGCTGCTATCAACTAAAAAAAATGTTTAAAGCAAGTGATGTCAAGTGTAGCACTTGGGTGATCTTTAAAACATCAATTTCACGGCTACAGAGTGAGAAGAAGCCGCCATAATGGAAAGACACCTGGAGGTTTTAGTTTACGGTAGGCTGTTAACTGTTACTGTGACCAAGTGTGAGGACCTAGCAGGGCAACCGCTGGGCTGCAGCAGGGAAGGTGAAGGGGGTCAGGACAGAAGCTAGCAGTGCCACTGTCACGGGCACAATGCGATTGTACATTTGGAGGATCCTGGTTCTGGTTTCAGCACCAAATTTTAAGAAGGAAATTGGTATATTCAAGGTATTTGGAGGGCAGGGGCCAGAATGCTGAAGCATCTGAAAACCAGGTCATATGAGGAACAAAATTATTGACCTCGGTGAAGGAAAGACAGGACAAAACTTGAGGTCACTTTCCAAATATTCAGAGTATCATGCATAATAATAGCAATCTAATACAATCACAGGGAGGCATAATTGGATTTATATTTTTTAAATCTTATCAGTCATATTACCTAAAAAATTGGAACGGGTGCTCTACAGGGATACTGCTTCTCTAAGGAAAGAGGAATTTATTGACATGGTTTTTGGCATCAGATGGATTCTGGTTCTAGAATTATTCTTAGGAGCAGCCTTCCTCAATCAGTCATGGAATTAGGTGCAGTATAATTCATCCACAAAGAAACAATACTTGGAAAATCACATAAAGTGAGTATGTCTTTCAGGCTCTTCTTCCCTTGCCATGGAAGAGATACTGGGATAACCTCAAGTCCATGTCTTGCCTGTGTTATTATATTGAGCTGCACTCCTTGGTCAATCAGAAAAAGGAATCAGAAACCAGCCATTCCCTTGAAAAGTCAGTGCTATCTACACCACTATCTTGTACACAAGTAGACGGGGGTATGTATTAGGTAGTATTAAATACCACCCTATGTCAGACACATCCCCAAGCACAAACCCCTGGTGGCATTTCATCGCTAGCTCTTTCTTTACATCCCAGTGCTGTTTCTTGAAGGCACCTTAAAACGGAAGGATGCTACACTAGAGAAAGAACACATTACCCATCTCACCCGCCAGGCAGCCATCCATAGCTCTGGAGATGCACCGAGTTCTTCCCTGGGCATGGGGGATACAAAAGTCTGTCAGCGTCAGGCCTGAGAAAGCTGACCTGGGCCAAGAAGGGCCAGGTGAAGTTCCAAACACGAGACGCTAGTCAAGGAGGAAACACCAAGGAGAAGGCGGTGAGCCCGTGAGCAGAGCCACAGATTGAGGAAGGGGTTGGAAGGAAGAGGAGGGCCAGCAAAGCACGCACGCACTCATGATGCTCTCAGGCTATGATGGGACAAGTGACTCCCCCTCATGCGGCAATTCTGTGTGAGCAAAAATTGTATTAAGGTGAGATTTTTGCTTTGCTTTTGTGTTTCAGAGACCTGAAGCTAGATAATATCCTGTTAGACAAAGATGGACATATCAAAATAGCGGACTTTGGAATGTGCAAGGAGAACATGTTAGGAGATGCCAAGACAAACACTTTCTGCGGCACCCCTGACTATATCGCCCCGGAGGTAAGGGTGTGCCGCCCAAAGGGTGTGCATGGGCGCTTGCCCAACTCCACATGTCCCAAGCCCCACTGTTCCTTCCTCCCCTGAAAAAAAAAAATCAAAAGATTTTAATAGTTTGTTTCAGGATCTGTATTTGTGTTTCTGAGTAGTTCATAAATGCGGCTACACACGGGGGTTGTGTTGTTATTTAATGGGGGGTGGTGCTCATGCTGACTAGGTAGTCTCTCTAAGTCTTGAATGGCTCAGCATATCCTCCTCAGTCATGGCTCCTCCCCACCACAGCCTTAAACTGCATTCACTCCACTCAGACCAACCAGAGGAAACAACGGTGAAGAACCAGGTGGTCACTGAACAGGCTCATAAGTATCCACCTGAATAAGTCCAGTGGTTTCATCTTGGGACCAAGATCCTCAAAATGAATCCCTTTGATTGGACCTGCTGCTGCCCTAATCCAGACCTTGAGCATCTCTTGTCTGGACCCTGGGGACACCCTCTGGCTTTTTTCTCCATCACCATCCAACTGCCAGGGTACCCTCTTTACATATTTTCAAACTTCTCTAAAAGATGCTCCCTTAACATTAAAAAGCATCCCCAGTATATTTTATATAAATCTCATATTATTGCCAACTAATATGGTCTGTGTGTTATAAAACATGCACATAGAATATAATCAGGTTGAACTAAAAATTAAATATACAATTATTTTTTTTAATTTTTTAAGCTTTCACTTTTGTTTTTAAATTTTATTTTATTATGTTAATCACCATACATTACATCATCAGTTTTTCACTTTTTAAGTAATCTCTATACCCAATGTGGGGCTCAAACTCACAACTCTGACATTAAAAGTCACACGCTCTAACAACTGAGCCAGCCAGGCAACCCCAATATACAATTATTTTAAGTAACTAAATTTTTTTCTGTTTATTAATGGTACATTTATGCTTCATTAAAATAATGGCATTAAATAACTTCTTAAAATTTTGGTTTAACATTTTAGGACTCTGAGAGTCAAAGGTCTGATCAGTTTAATTCTTGGTTTCGTTGGCTAGCATACCTGGAAAAGATAGATAGCTCATACTATGGACTCTGAGAAACAAACTGAGGGTTCTAGAGGGGAGGGGAGTGGGGGGATGGGTGAGCCTGGTGATGGGTATTAAAGAGGGCACGTTCTGCATGGAGCACTGGGTGTTATACGCAACAATGAATCGTGGAACACTACATCAAAAACTAATGATGTAATGTATGGTGATTAACATAATAAAATTTAAAAAAGATAGCTCTTGAAGGCACAGTATCACTTAGACTTTACAGTATGTATGGTAGGCAGGGTTCCTCACTGACAGTAGTGATTGTAATTCAAATAATTCCATAATTCAAAACAATGTCTTTGATATATCTGGCTTTTTCAGCTAACTTCTTGTCATAATGAATGGCACTGTGTTTAGCCCCCTTATAAGGTGGGTGACCAGAAGCTTGTACTGAGAGTATGAGAGACCTCTCTGCCGTCATTTCTTTACATTCTACATGTTTGTAATCTTTAGCATTATCTTCAAGCCTCTTTGCAGACAGCTTTCTAAGGATTTGCCATTTTGTGAAAATGAGTTCTGTTAAGAGAGAACCCAGCAATCCACATAATTGGGCACACAACATAAATGACCTACCTCGGGATAATAACAATGATGGTAACACACCTTACAACACGCTGAAAGCAAATGCACAAATGTAGCCACCACACTCCCTCTGATAGGGGTATTCCCGTTCTTCCCTCAGGAGGCCTCGGTTACTATGTAAAGTTCCAAACAAGGGCACCAGGGTCATTTTAATTTTTAAAAAAATTAACATAAATACAAGTTCTAATATTTTCTTCCCCCATCTCACTGTTCCATCTGTTGACCCCTGGACCCATTCGGAAGGCCACTGTTCTGCCAAGACACCAGATATGCACTTCTAATGCCCAAGCCTGTCACTCCAGTGTTTTAAAATCTTCAAGACATCCCCATTATCAACTGGGCACAAGCCAAAATCCTGGAAATAGGTCCTTTATAATATGTCCCTGGACTTGCATCTTGCATTCATCTCTCCTATTCCTTAACCATGTACTCTGCGGCCTTGGTCTGTGGTTATTCCCAGGATGACCCCCAAAGTCATCTTCTCCCTAAAGATGCTTCTGGTTTCCTGAAATAATTGTTTCTCCCCCTGTTCTACCACAGCACATGTGTAATCCAAGCTACCAGTAAACCGTTTCTCACAGTTAGAGCCCATGATGTATCCATCTTAATGTCTCCACCCCTCAGCTTGGAGTACCCATCAACCTTCTTCTAAATAAATGACCACACAGCATACACCCTCAACGTCGGTCTGTGAACGTATGCTAGATTTCCTCACCACTGGCCCTTTTTTATACGATAAATCTCACTAGCCGCTTTCTTCTCTACCCATGAAGACACTACCCATTTTTCAACATTCCACGCACATGTATCTACTTTGTAAAGTTTGTTCTTTATCTGACTCACTGACCAATTGTCCCCTCAAAAAAAAAAAAAAAAACATGCTCTTCTGCCTCTGAACTTTAATAAAAATTTAACTTTCCCTTCTTGTGGTTCTAAGTAGATGCTGCCTAGTACTGTTTTTGTGTGTATTCAGTTATCTCCAGGGAAGGAACCCTGTGGCAAATGAAAAGTGGGCTAGGCCAGACACAGCATTAAAAACACACAGAATCCCAGAGCAAGTGGGACAAGGGCCATGAAGCCCACCTGGCAGACACTGGTATCTCCTGACAGGAGAACCCAAATTACAGAAATAAATGCATTTCAGAGCAACATCAGGAGGGATGCACAAAAAAAAAAAAAAAAAAAAACTGCCCTCCCTAAAGCTGGGGAGTATCCTCAGTCCATGTCTCCTGAGATATAAAACTCTATGGCTCTCTGCTCTTCCAGTTACAGGACTGAGGGTCGAACATAGAATTGGGGGTCCAAGCTCGTTTTGACAAAGACTAGGGAAAGAAACACGGAAACACCCTCTCTTTATACTAGCCACTTAGTAAATCCATGTGGGATTCCAATGCCCAGAAGCAGCTCCCTGGAGAGAGCAGGGGTCACCTGGAGACCAAAACTAGGGAGGCGCTGGGCGGTCACTTTGTAAACTGACAGCATATCAACGTAGACAGATGTAACTTATATAGATGTTGTAACTCACTAGCTCCACCAGGCAGATGGAATTTGCAGACTGCTCTCACTGTTGGAGAGAAAGGGAGACTCTGACCTCAAATGGCAACATTGTTACTATCTGAATTATTTGAGTAAAGTTGGGAGAGGAAACTGGACAAAAGATGATGAGGCCATAAGAAGGCAGCAGACAGGGGCGCCTGGGTGGCTCAGTCCGTTAGGCCACTGCCGTCGGCTTCTGTCATGGTCCCAGGGTCCTGGGATCAAGCCCCACATCTGGCTCCCCGCTCTTCAGGAAGCCTGCTTCTCCCTCTGTCTCCCATTCCCCCTGCTTCTACTCTCTCTGTCAAATAAATAAATAAAATCTTTAAAAAAAAAAAAAAAGGGCAGCAGACAGAAACAGAAAAAAGGGCCACTCTCAAGCTAGTGTTTCTCCACCAGTTTCTTTAAAAAATATAGACAGTGTGAACACGGCCTTGTTGAGGTTGAGGTTTAATCCAGGAGACATTAAATATGAAAGAACATTATGTGGTAACCCCCCCCCAACAAGGACCAGCGTTCAGAACATCGCTTCAACTCACTAACTAGGACATCTTAAATAAGACAGGTAACCTCCCAAAGCCCAGTCACCATTCTTTGTTAAATAGGAATCACAGGACCTACCTCAGGAGTTCTTATTTAAAAAAACAAAACAAAACACGTAACTTGTGGCAAACACCTAACTCAGGTCAGCATACTTCTGGCAGGGTGATCTGCATTGTGCTTCTTCCTCCTGACTTAAGACAAATTCTTTATTAACATCACCTAGCTTAATTTCCACCACAGCTGTCTCCTGTCCTCCAAATTCCTCTTCATCTGTCCTTCTCGATGAAGTTGTTTACAAAGACGGGATGACGCCCAGAGCAGTTTCTGGTTGCTTTGGGCTCCCCCTCGTGACACGACCTGGGAATTACATGTGAAGCAGCCCTCCCCCACCGCTCCCAATTTAAGGCAAAGGCACCTGAACAAAGATTGTGTGCCTATGCTCACACACGCACCCTTTTCTTTATCATTCTCCCTGGATCTACTTTTAAACTTTGCCTTAACGAATACTCTATCTTCCCTAAACTTAAAAGTTAACGTTAGTATTTAAAAATTGAGTTAAGGATAGTGGCTAGCATTTTTATGCTGGAAGTCAGTGGCAGATTGCAAAAATCTGTCGGCAGCTTGATCTTTATTTTCACAAATGGGTACCAGTCGATCAAGACAGGTATTTATCCTGGAGCATATAGTCATTTCCATAGGACACAGCACTCTGCCTTCCCTACTTTTCAGTGGGTCCTCACAACAACCCAGTAATAAGTCAGCCAGATGTTATCACCACTTTTCACAAATGAGGCACAGAGGGGGGTGAAGGAGTCTGCCCCAAACTACACAAGAAGGGACTGAGCCAGAGGTAGAACCCACAACATTTTGCATGGCCGTCTGTTTCGTTGAGTTTATCAACTCTTGCATTGGCGACACCTCCACCATATCCGGGAGCCTCACTCCAGATGTAGTTCATTCCGCAAGGACAGGCCTGGGTGGGGTAGCACTCAGAGACAGTAGTTGTGCACCTTGTTCTGCTGCATCAAAAGGTTCGCCAGCATCAAGACACGGAATGTCTAGAATACAGCATCATTTTTCCTTCCTAATGCCACCAGTGCTATCATTCTACCATTCATTCCCGGGGCCCACTTAAGAAGAAATTCCATTTCAAACGAGGAACTCTAAGATGACCTCCGTGTGTTTACGAGTATGTGCTCACATGGGTGGGCACTGAGCTGGGCTTTAAATTGCAGGGTGGAAAGGACAGCCATCCCAAGAGGGTCCCGGTCTCGCTTTTAATTTTGTGCTTCAATACTTATTATCGCTTCTCCATTTTGGGTAATAAAGCAGCTTGTCCCCAACCTATCCTGGGAGCGGCAGTCACGAAAGACAAGGATTTTCTCCTCTTCTTCATTTCACAAACTGTTACTGTGTTCCTACTATGTACTGGTTTTAATTGCGGTAAAACATACAAACTGTAAAACACACCATCTTACCATTAAGAGTATTATTCAGTGAGTGTTAAGTATATTCCCATTATTATACAACCAATCTCCAGAATTTTTTTAATCTGGCACAACTGAAACACTATACCCATTAAACAGCTCCCCATTTCCCCAAACCCCCAGCCACCATCATTTTACTTTCTGTCCCTATAAATCAGCCTTTTCTAGGGACCTCATATAAGTGGAATCATACGGTATTTGTCTTCTTGAGTCTGGCTTATTTCACTTAGCACAATGTCCTCAAGGCTTATCCAGGGGGTATCATGTGTCAGGATTTCCTTCTGTTTTAAGGCTGAATAAATATTCTGTTGTATGTATGGATCACATTGTTTGTCCGTCTGCTGACGGACACTATGCACAGTTTTTAGAGAAGGTCAGAGCTTGGTTTGTTAGGATGACAAGCATTGAGCAGAGTCACAGGTACGCTGCCTCCCAACATTAAATAAGAAAGTGGCTGAATACAGAACACAAAAACTTTTCTGCCAGGAGAGTGGATTGGTGAAAGGGTAGCAATCTTTTTAAAAGTTAGGTGGGACCCCAGACTTGAAACCCACTTCCCTAAAGGACAGAGAAGACCAGTTCTACTCAAAGCACCGTTGTCAAGCTGCGCACCACTCTCAGAGAGCAGATTTCTGGATATGAAATCTGTTACCCTAGTCTCTTTTGGCATACTCCCTATATCAGACTTTTTTCTTTTTGAGAGAGTGTTCAAGTGGGGTGGGGGGGAGGGGCAGAGGAAGAGAGAGAATCCCAAGCAGTCTCCTTGCCCAGCGCAACATGGGCTCAATCTCACATAACCCTGAGATCATGACCTGAGCCAAAAATCACGAGTCAGACGCTTAACCAACTGAGCCACCCAGGTGCCCCACTAAATCTGACTCTTTAATGGTGACCATAGACGGGACTCGTTAGTTGTACAACTGTGGCTTTAAGGACTGTATTTGATCAGATGAGTTCTTTAGACCTACTGAAAGTTTATGCAAAGTCTCAGGACAGTAGAAGTCAGTAAAACATGTGGGTTTGGCTTAGCTATTCACAGGAGAGAATAGATACATACCAGCTTCCTGAGGTCCGAGTCTACCATCCAAGTCTTCACATCACAGGTGGGAAAATGAAAGCTAATGGCACACAGGTCAGTTGTTACACATAAGGCCAGAGGAAAAGTAAAAATTAAAACAAAAAATATTTGCTCAATTTGGCACTGCCCACTCATTTCTATTCAATCGTCAGCTTCTCAAAAGATACAGTTTTCAGTGTGATCTGTGTTAAAACCACATACTGTCATCACCATCAACTACTTACTGAGCGGTATTGAAAAGTTCAAGCAGGGTTTTCACTCATCCACCTCATGTTTATTAATTTCATCTCTGCCTCTCGGTCACACAGATCTTGCTGGGTCAGAAATACAACCATTCTGTTGACTGGTGGTCCTTTGGCGTTCTCCTCTATGAGATGCTAATTGGTCAGTCACCTTTCCATGGGCAAGATGAAGAAGAGCTTTTCCACTCCATCCGTATGGACAATCCCTTTTACCCTCGATGGCTTGAGAAGGAGGCAAAGGACCTTCTAGTGAAGGTAAGAAAGGAAGTCAAGGAGACTCCATGGATTTAGTATTAGGTATTCTGATTGGTACTCCCCTTCATTTCTAGGTTCTGATTATATATGGTAAACAATAGTCATCTCGAACTGGATTTAAATGGATGCTCACCATCTGTGTCAACTGAGGCACCAATAGGATGGACATTAGATACCAATTCCATGATGTTCCATCTCACTGAGACCCCCCCTCCCCCACTGTTCACTGCCTGCCGAATGGGCCTTTCAGGCAGTATTTAAAATGATGCAGACCAGCTCTCCTGCCACAGTCCTGTGTCCACTGGAGATATTGATGCCTTTTCCCCCTATAACTCAGAGTTCAGACTGTCACCACCTCTGCAGCAACCTCTAGAATTCACCATCAAAGCAGGAGTCAGACCCCTGATCGTGATGGCCCAGAATCAATGCAGAAATGGTAATGCCACAGAGGCGAACCGGGAGCTCCTAGGCCAAACCAATGAAGAGCTATAAGAAACACCTGAGAGCCATCATTAAAGATCTGGATTTTAGAGTCCCAGTTTACCTTTGTAGAGGATGCAGAATACAGTGTCTGAGTACAAAAAATAAATAAATCACAGTACTACAACATGCTATCACATATAACAACCACCTGCCCTCAGTGAGCTGTCCGGAAACTATTTGGACAAGGAGATGTACCAGCGTGATCAAGAAGCTAACAACTCTAAAAGTAGTGGACCAAGAATACAGGTGTTTTAAATTCTGGCATCTCTTATCCCAGCTGGCTTTTAAAAACATCATTTAGGGAAATAATTTCCAGCCTTGGTGTCTTTATATTGAAAAGGGAGAACAGGATAAGACTTTTCAACATTAGAACCTATCAGTGGATTTAAAATCTAAACTAAAAAAAGATGAGCAGGCCCATCTTTTTTCACTAGTCTGCTTTTTTTCTCATGAACTACTTGGACTTAAATGTAAAAGGCATCAGCTTCTTCTGCTCTCATATACAACTGACAACTTGTCCAGAGTCTTTGAAATGTTGAGGCAATTCTAGAGCTCTCCCCCAGGAATCAAGATATTGAATCTAAAGTGCTGACAAAGCCCTCCCAGGACACCTAGCCCAAGGCTGATGGCATTTAGAATTTGAGCCAGTCCAATGCAGCTTTCCATTTGTTATCCAAACAAGCCATAAACCCAGGAAACTCTCGGAACAACCAGTTAAATACACTTTTAATGACTGAACAACACACATATAAAATGAAAGCTGATTTCCAAAATTAACCAATTAAAAAGACTATAGTAAAAATGAAGTTAGGATTGGATAATTTTGCTTTACAGAAAGGCAAGTTCAAACATCCTTAGAGACGCTGCTTTTCTTTTACACATGACTTCGGGTGAGGCATGGTTGGCGCCAGCTGCTGTAACAAAATATCACAGACTGTGGGACTCACACAACACATTTACTTATAGTTCTGGAGGCTGGAAGTCCAAGAGCAGGGTCAGCAGGGTTGGTTTCTTATGAAGGCTCTCTTCCCGGTTTGCAGGCAGGCATCTTCTTGCCTTGTCCTCACATAGTGAGTGAAGAGCTCTCTGCCGTTTCCTCTTAACTAATTCTATTGGACCATTCCTGCCCATATGACCTCATTTAGCCTTAATTGCTCCAATCCTCCAAGTACACTCACATCGGGGGTTAGGGCTTCAACATACAAATGTTGACAGGACACTGAGAAAGCCTGATCCAACAAAACCCACCAGAAGGAGGAAATAAGGAAACAGTTTGGGGGGCTGCCTGGAGGTGATCCACATTCACCTGTTGATGTTCCATAAACCTCAACAGCTGTGCTTCCCAAACCTAGCTCTGCCTCGGGATCTGGGAGAGCTCCTGCCGAGGAGTGAGGGTGAAGGAGTAACGGGCCAGGTGGAGTTAATCAGAAGTAAATGTTGGGAGGAAGAAAGGATCGCTTCCAGTTGGAGGGGGAAAGATGAGGAGTTATGTGTATGGAATATTACTCGGCAGTAAAGAGAAATGAACTATTACTGATATACAGAACAACTTGGATGGACCGCAAGGGCATTAGGCTGAGTGACCAAAAAAAAAGCCAGTCTCAAAAGGTCACATTCTGTGAGTCCACTTGTGCAACATTCTGGAAAGGACATTGTGGAGACAGAAATCAGATTAGCGGCAGTGGGGGTTAGGGAGTTTGACTGTAAAGGGGTATCCCAAGGGACAGCTTTGTGCTGACAGGACAGTACTGGGTCTTATGTGTCATGGTAGTTACCCAGATCTACACGTGGGATAAAATGACAGAGAACTAGACATACACATTGTATTAATGCCGGTCTCCTGGTTTTGGTATCTCACTGTAATTACATATGATATAAGCATTAGGGGAGGCTGTGTGAAGGGTAGACAGGACACCTTTAGTAGCTTTTTTTAAATTATTTATTGACAGAGAGAAAGAGAGGGCGAGGGAGAGCACAAGCAGGGGGAGCGGCAGGCAGAGGGAGAGGGAGAAACAGACTCCCCACTGAGCAGGGAGCCCAATGCGGGACTCGATCCCAGGACCCTAGGATGATGACCTGAGCCAAAGGCAGATGCTTAACCGCCTGAGCCACCCAGGCGTCCCCACCTGTACTAGCTTTTAACATCCTGTGAATCTATATGTATGGACTGAATGTGCCCACCCCAAATTCTATATTGAAGCCCCAGCCCCCAAAGTGATGATTATAGGAGGTGAGGCCTTTGGGACATAATTAGGCATAGATGACATAATGAGGGTGGGGCCACCAGGATGGACTAGTGCCCTTACACAAAGAAGAAGAGAGAGATTTCTCCCCCTCCAAGTGCACTCACCACGGAAAGGCCATTTGAGGACACAGCAGGAAGGTGGCCGTCTACAAGCCAAGAAGAGGGTCCTCACCAGAAACTGCCCAGGCTGGCACCTTGATCTTGGACTTCCAGCCTCCAGAACTGTGATAAGTAGATGCTTATTGTTTAAGCCACCATGTAGTCTATGGCACTTTGTTATAGCAGCCCAAGCGGACTAAGACACTATATTACTTCAAAATAAAAAGTTTATAAACAAAATAAAATCTAAGGCAAAATGTCAGCAAATACCAAAACCAAAATCATGCGCAGTTTCAATAGCAGGAAAAAGATTTGCTGTGAGGGTAGAAAATAAATCAGGTTGAACAGAGCAGAAACCAAGACAAGTGAGGATAAAGAATGGGGGAGAGGGGGACTAGCTAGTGAAAGTGGTTTTACATTCATGTGGAGGAGATGGGGCTTATTCTTTCCCATGTGAGTTAATAAAAATTCCCTGTCCTTGTTCCATGAGGAAGAAAGTCCTCTCCCGTGTTCCAGCAGTTCGGCTGATAAAAATTAGTTTCCCTTGTGCAATTTGCTGACAATAAGACCGGCCTCTGGTTTCATCTCTGCTCCCCATTTGCTCTGTAACTTTGATGCAACAGTCCTCACATCCTTGAGCTCCCTTTTCTGCAAAGATCAAAGGTAGTATCATTTCTGAGAAACTTCCTCTAGGGAATTATGTGTATAATGTTGTAAAACCCAGAAGTAACTGGTCCTCTGAAAAAGCGGCGTCTGTTACAGCAGCGGCATCCACAGCAGACTCTGTCCCCTTTAGCCGTCATCAGGCAAGGACGCACGTGGTGTGTGAACCAACTACACGGTGAAAGAGGGGGTGCTCCATCACAAATCACAACTGGGACACTGCTGTTCAGTTGACTCTTGCCGAAGAAACACTCCTTTCTCCCGCATGTGTCCATCCAGGATGTCCTGCCCATTTATTTGGAAACTGCTGGGAGATGAGTGATCTCAAACAGAAACACCTCTCCCGTCTGTAGAAAGATCTATCTGAGGAGGGAATGAGGAGGGGAAATGACTCCAGGGTGCTGTGCGCTGGGGGCCTTCCTCAGCAACCCAGCACTGCGTTCTAGCCCAGACAGTCAAATGAGTTTTAACAAACTCCAGCTGCATCCTGGCCATTTGTGCACAAGGTGTGCTGTTTCCTAGAAATGTAAACCACCCTCTGACAGCTTTTGTGAACAAAAGCAAGTCTTCATTTGTGAACATTGAGTCCCTCGGTGCAGCTTCCGTGGCACAGAGCCGATGGCCTCCCCTGAGGTCACCAGTCATCTTCAGGACCTGGAAGGAGGAGGGGTGATTTGTGGCAGAACACAGAAGACAATAACTTACTCTTGTGCAAGACTAGAAAGAAATTTGCATCTCAAAGCTGGAGATCACATTATATTCTCATTACACCTTTTATCTTTTAAAAGATGTATTTTTTAATTTCACAGGTACATAGACCAGGCTTAGAAAGCTTTGTCATGATGCCCTAGGATCAAATGCCACATGGTACTGGGAATATCTAATGGGAAACAACATGGTGCACATGCAGCCTAGGGCAGTTACTTCTAATTTAATTCACTGAAGTCTTTAATTATAACAACATGAGCTAGTTTTTGGCCCATTCTTGAGGCACTCACACCTTCCCTCTCGTCTTGTTTCATCAAAATGTCCTTGAGAAGTACAGGTCTTCCATCCAAGTACTAACCAGGCCCGGCCCTGCTTAGCTTCCAAGAAGTAGAGGTCAATAGGGTATTATGATCGTTTCAAGGGAAGAGATATGGGGTCAGTCACTCATTCCCTCTGCTTCTAAAAAATCAACCTGCTTTTCCATCTGTTGACTTACATTGGTGTCTGAGTCCACAGAAAAAAAAGGTTTTACTGTGAAGTTGGTGCCTTTCCTATATGCTGTTCTATACGCTAAAAACAAGAAGCTAACAAAGTGAGGACTGAAGACATATGATCCGCAAGCAATAAAGTGGGACCACTCGCTCACTTAGTCAACAAACATTTATTGAGCATCTACTTTGTGCGTGGCACTGTGTGAGGTCGGAAGAAGGAGAAACATAAATGGTGTCTGCCCTCTGAGCTTACACTCTAGTGAAAAAAATACTCTTAAAAAATATTTATATACAGTGATACTTTAGCTAATGAAGGGAAGATGTTCAGATGCTCTGTGGAACCCAGAGGAGAGTCTATTCACCACCAGAAGCAAGAAGGGGCTGCTTGTAATTCAGGCTCTACCCCTGACTATGGCTGTTTCTGTGATCTTGAGCAAGTAACGTAGCTACTCTCTGAACCTTATTTTCCCCAAATGACAATGGGACAGTGATATCTGCTTTTGGAATCTGTTTTTAAAATCAGGCTGATAGAGCTGAGACATCTAGCACCATGCCTGACTCCCCAAGAACACTAGTTGGAATGAGTCCCAGAATCAACCATAGGACCATGAGCTTGACTTGAAGGGCAGGCGGAGCTCACCAGGTGTTAAGGGAATCAAAGAAAGCCTCACAAAGAGGGGGTATTTAAAGACTGGTGGGCTGGGATTTAAAGATGGGGAGAAGGAAATGGGAGAATGTGGGGAGAGGTATCTCCTTGAAAGATAGAAAGGTCACTAGCGAAGGACAGAGGTAGGAAAGACAGGTGGCACATTGAGTAGACATGTCTGGACAGAAGAGAGGGTTACAGTGGGATGTCAGCAGAGGCCACAGAGAGCCTGGGATGGCCACCTAGGCACAGAGGACATTAGGACTCACCAGGGCGTAGAGATGACCTTGCTTCACCCTGCATTTTACAGGTGAGGCGATCGAGACAGAAAACTTGCCCGAGGCCATGTGGGTAGTAAGTCTCTTGGGTGACAGCCTCATGTTAGTGGTTTTCTAACAGAGCTTTAGAACCTTAAGTTCCATTAAGAGGCCTCAGCGACCAGCATAGGGTAAGGGGGGGAGGAAGTTAGGACGACTAACCATGTGGATATACTAGGTGGTTGTATGAGCATTATAATTGGATTTTTTTTAAAAAAAAGATTATCATAATTACAAAAAAGAAGGGAAAAAATCTCTACTTTGCTCCAGCATGTTGTTTTTTGTTCTTTTAGTTTTGGGATTTTGGGGGGGAGGGGGTTTGGTAGAGCCTTTGAAGATTTTCAAGTAGGAAGGCAAGACAAGTAAAGGAGTGTTTAAAAACACATAGACTGGATATTCTTAAAATAGCTAAAAGCAAGAGATCCCTGTAAATTAGTTGTTAATGGAGGTCAGGTCCTGCCAGAGCCTCCTGGAAAATCACTGCATTTCACTGTGGTTCTTGTTTCAGAGACCCACGGTGTCCTCATGACACCCTATAGCTAGCAATTACTTTCCAAAGAGACATCTAGCTGGGGTGAGAAAAAGTAGTAACCACTGCAGGCACTTGGGACCTGTGGCTTCCCCAGGTCTCATGTTTAGACTCTATTCCGTACTGCCTTTGACCTGCTATGTTGGAGTTTGAAGAGTCTCCAGACTTCTTTCCTGTCTTGGCCAATGTTCAGTTTGACTTCGTGGAGGAAAGTAACAGGAGAGGGGACAGCACACAAATATGTGTGTGTATACGTATATATGTGACAAGTCAGAAAATATTAAAGATGACTTGAATTAAATATTATTTTATAAGCAGATTTGCAGATGCCTTGTCCAAAGCGGACTCTTGGCGACTGGTTTATATTATCGCTAAAGTGAGATTTTCTTCATAGCAGGACTAGTCTCCTTAGAAGGTAGCTTTATCGGAAATCAAACTCGATTAATGGGCAGTCAACTAAGCAACAAATGATCCACTTATTCTATGTGGTTGGGTTTTACAGACCAGGAGTCAGTGCATACGTGTGTCTGTGTGTGTGTGTAGTTATATCATCCCCCCCCCCCCACAGAACAGCCCCGCAGGAAGGACACTTCACTCACTTCACATGTGAGGACATGTGAGTCAGAGAGTCCCCTAACCTGCCAGAAGTCCTACAGAACACAGGGCAAGGCTGATTTCAAACCAGGTCTATACCCCTTGAAAGACAGCATTTCTAGGGCAAAGAGCAAGGAAACAAAAGCCCAGATTCTGGAATATTCAGAAGGCTCATTTGAGGGAGAATGTTGTCGCCAGTGTGACTTGAGGCAACAGTTGATACCGGTAAGTACAAAAATAAGGTTAGAAAAGCAAGTGTCAAATCACTGGGCCTTTACTTTTGTGGAGTCAAATTCCTTTGGCTCTAGGTTAAGAAATGCAACCTCGTCTGAGGCTGACCGGCTAGGCTAGTCCCTTGAGAAGTAACTGCTCCCTTTCTGCTATTGCTCAGCTCTTCGTGAGGGAACCTGAAAAGAGGCTGGGAGTGAGGGGAGACATCCGCCAGCACCCTTTGTTTCGGGAGATCAACTGGGAAGAGCTTGAACGAAAGGAGATTGACCCACCATTCCGGCCTAAAGTGGTAAGGACCCACCGGGACCGTTTGCTCCCCACCGTTCCTGCTTTGCTTCTCCGCCTACCCAGGGTTGCCTGCCTGCCCTTCACCCCTGACTCAGCCCAGCTTTCCTCCTGGGTTCAGTTCTTGGAGGAAAGTGCTTCCTTAATTATAATTCGGATTATCTGGCCGGTGGGGGTGTGGGGTGCAAGGGGATGTTCCTCTTGTTTGCACTATCTAACCTCCGTGAGGAAATCATGTGCCTGCATGAAAATGACTTGCTGGGCGTCCATGCATCAGACTTACCACGCACGTGCCAGGTGACTCTCAGATAAGATATGGAGCCTTTGCACGGGGTACATACCTGCTCCATGGTCACTCTCCATGTCAGGGGTTTTGGAGCCATCTTTTCCATGATATTTATTCGAGTTTGCCTGACATTTGTAATTCATTCACATAACTATATTCCCTAATGGGGATTGTTACATGTTCTTCTGTTTAAGGAAGAAGTCAGCTAGGGCCTTAGGAAAAGACAGGCCTCCAAATTCCCATGTGTATGCTCCCTAGCAAAAGTCACTAACCTCCATGAGGAAAGGCAGAATGACCTGGCCACACGCAGAACGGGCCACCATAAAGTGAAGACAAAAGTAAAGCATGGTCAGGATGAAAAAGCTCTGCGTCAGACAGATGTTGAGAATGGTGCATGCATGTAATGCCACTGAACCATACTCCTAAAAGTGGTTCAAATGGTCACTTTTATGTGAGGTACATTTTTACTACAATTTTTACAAATAATTTTTTTAAAGTGGTAGGTTTGCCGGCTTTACCCATTCCTGGTGATTACTGGGAAAAAAGTAGTAATGACCTAGGTAGATATAAACCATCTCTGCTGTCTCTTTGCATGGAGATGGCACAGGCTTGTGGATTCCAAGGCAGAGTCCTTCACTCTAGGAAAGAGCTATTCCTATTAGTCAGGACAGTAGATGGCCAGAAGAAGCAGGTATTTTCCCAGGGTTAGCAGAGTTAGTCTCAACATTTGTCCCAAGCTCTGGGGACGCTCTAAGGGTTCTACAGCCTGGCCTCTAGCACTCCTATTATTTGTGACAGTGCCATGCCTAATTGATGAGTTAATAATTTGTGACAAAATGCATTTTTACCTTGTTTTAGGCTCATCAGAACAATGTGATTTATGTCTCAACTTCCACGGTACATTACAATCAACTTGATATTGTCCACCTAAAAATCAGACTTTTGATCTACACGTTCCCTACAGGACAATTCTCGATTCTGCCAGTAGGAAGGAATTTCCCTCACGTGTTGTCTAAAGAGCTATTTGTAGGCAGAGGCCACAGGCCATTGGCCTCACCAGCCTAGGAGCCCCCTTGAGGGTAGGAAAAGTCTGACTCTTAGTTATGCTCATATACACAAGGGTGACATTTGATCATCTTAAAAAAGTCGAATTGTACACCGTACAAAGCAGTATTTATAAATAGGTGTTTGTTTTGACATTCTTTTTTTTCTCATGGGCACCCATGGACCAGGTGGCTTGAGGGGAGCTAGTCCCAATCTGTCTGTGGAAGACAGTCCAAGAGGGTTAATAATAAAATTAACATGGGTAGAGGAACCAACAGTAGTGAAGGATATTGATATAAGAACAGGAACATATTATCTGCAGAACTCCTGCCCTTGCCTCCCGCCGTCCAATCCCTTCCCTCCCCTTTCCCACACTGTGCCCTGAAGACCGAAAGGCTACAGGTCAAATTTGGGCTCACCACTGTTTCAAAGGTTGCCCGTCCTGTTTCATGTAAACTATTAACCAGAAGCAAGAGATCCTATCTGAATGTATAGAGTGAAGTTCCTTTAACATGAATTTAATTGTACTATTGCTAAGCGAATGCCTCAGGATCTTGGGAATGTTCCATAAATCCACATATGACCATCTCTAAGTATTACTTGTTTACCAGCAGTGCCCACCTTGTCATACAACAACTGTAGCCTAGGTAACAGAAATGAAGGTATTAATTCAGTGGCTGATTTTCTTCCTTTTTTCCCTCCACCCCTCCCTTAAACTCTGATCAAGAAATCACCGTATGACTGCAGCAATTTCGACAAAGAATTCTTAAATGAGAAACCCCGGCTGTCGTTTGCAGACAGAGCCCTGATCAACAGTATGGACCAGAACATGTTCAGAAACTTTTCCTTCATTAACCCAGGAATGGAGAGGTTGATATCCTGAGGGGACCTCTCCTGACACACGAGGGAATTTGCCTTGTGTCTGTGAACTGGTCCGTGTGATGCTCCTTGGATTCCTTTTCACCTTGGGAAAGAAAAGAAACACTCAATAATACAGGCTGAGACCTTTTAGCTCATCACTGACGTTGTATCTGCAGCAGAAGCCACCTCCACTTCACTAATAACCACACCCTTCGGTGTCTCCTGTCCTCTCCTGGGGTCACTCTTGAAGCTGGGTCATTACTAACCATAGTTACTTACTGGCACGACGGTTCTCCTCTGCACTGTAAAAAGACCTGAAAAGTTAATACTGCCCTAAATCGTGGCTCTTCCCGTGGACACCAACGGCTGATCAATGACCTGAGGGGCAGAGAGAGCACAGCCTTCTCAAGACTGAAACAGCACGTCGCCGGGTGCAGGAGTGGACTTCATTCAGCAGCATATAAGTAACCACTAACCCGTTTTGTTCTGTTCGCATCTGTGGAAGTGGACGTGGTGGCAGGGGCAGGCCTGGTTAGGTTTTTGTGGGAATTCTTCACAATAAACATAGCTTGTAACTTGAGATTTACAAATCCATTCGTTCTGATTAGCCATGAAATTCTCGGGAAAGAGAAAAACGGAAAGTAAGAAGAGCTCATGTCCTTGAGACGGAGGGTTTAATAAAACACCTACTGTGGCTATCATGTCAACATAGAATCATTTAGTCCTGCCAACAGAACCACCCCATCCGCCATTCTCAATTGATTTCAGTGTCAGTGGAAGTCACTCATTACCCTCCTCTTCACACTGTAACAAGAAAGCAAGTGCATAATTCTTCCAACAGAAAAGAAAACCAATCTCTTACTATACCCTTAAAGTTGATCTGATGACTCATTTGTCTCCCTTTTGGCATTATTCAAGATAAGAGACCCATGCGTGCTACTTGTAGCAGTCGATCGTGTTTAACTAGGATTCTAGCCATACATTTTTAAGTATCTGTGCTGTTTGTATATTTTGATAAAATATTGTGACTTAATGACAAAGAGGTGGATATGTAAAAATGGAATAAAAGAAAGAAAGAAAGATGCCTCCTAATAGTTTAATTCCCTACTTGTGCCCCCAAGATCTTGGGTTTTGTCATGGTTATCATCAAAGTGTAGCTAGCATTGAGTTGATGTTGTAAATTTTGGGAATCACTAAAAATCCCCAGGTAGGTGAGAAACTCAGATAACGTCTAAGTTACTGTTATGTTCCTCTTTCCCTTCACCACGAGATCTCTTGGGAGTGGTCCACGAGTGTTGCCTCTACTCCTCCAACACCCGAATCCGGCTCTGTCCCCAGGTACTCCTTCGTCCCAGGACTACCCTCCAGCTAGTGCTTGTGGCAGGCACGAGGTCCGCATCTACCTTCTGCAGTTTGTTAGATGAACAAAGACCCTCCCCCTTCGACCTCAGCCCCATTAGACACTGTGACACAGCACTTTCCCCTTTTGTCCCCTCTACCTTTAACTGCCCCCTGGGCCAGCCCCTTTCCTCCGATCCCAAATCACTTCCAAGGCCCCTCTCCCCAACTTGTTTTCACTTTCTCTTGGTTCCTTCCTGTCACCTCATGCCTTCAAGGATCACTCAGTGTACATCATCTCCAAGCCATATCTCCAGTTCTAATCTTACTTCCGGGCTTCAGCCTCCATTGACTTGCTCTATTTTCTTACAACCTCAATCTCTCTTGGGTTTCCTAACTCCGTTACTGTCACCATCATAGGTCCAGTCATCCAGGCTCAGAAACTCAGAGTCATTGTCGACTGTCCCCTCTCCCTATTTTTTTTAACCAAATCCTCATGATTCTGCCAGTGTAGTCTCTCCAAAAGACATACTCATCTCTACTTTCTCTCCTGCTAACCGTGTCTGGATTAGTCTCCCCATCTCAAGTCTTTCGCCCCATTTTAATTCATGCATACAGCATACACTATAAACCAGAGGGTAGAAATAACTTCTCCTCTGCCCTCTTATGTTAAGAACCTGGGGCCTGCTGATTAAATTGACAAAAGACATTAGCAAGAGAAGCATGCTTTTACTTACACATGCTATACACATATACGTAGGAGTGCCCAGTGGTGAGTAATTCAAAGGAGTGGTTAGAATTTGGGATTTAAATACCTAGCTTAGCAGGATAAAGTAGGGCGGGGGAGAGAAAAGACTCCTATGGGAAGAACAAATAGGTTTCTTTAGGGAATGTAAATGGGGTTTCAGGAGAATAAATAGAAGATAAGAAAGTTTGTAATAATGTTTGTCTATGGCGGTATGAGTGGTCTTCCATCTTCCTCAGGGCCATAACATTCCCCCAGAGAGAGGGATTTATGGTAAGTAGGTTTAGTCTTGGTCTCACTCCTACAAATAGACCCACCCTGAAGAAGAAATTTTTGGCAGTTCTCATGTCTCCACAATTTCTGTTTTCAGTCAAATAAGGAAAGCTCCAGGAAGGCCTCTTTCTGCATCTGTTGAATCTCAAGTGTCTTTAACTTACAATATTTATTATTTATGAAACATTAAAAATATTATCTTCACAAATCAGTTTTTAATCCCATTACACTCACGTTCAAAACTCTGTGTAATCTTCACTGGCTAAAACGCATTCAGGGCCACCCATTCTGTCCCCAGCCTCTCTACCTGACTTCCCATTTCCACCCTTCACTCACCTGTGCTCTAGTGAATCTGAATTTCTTAGCACTGCCTATAAATTCCCACCATTTCCCACCTCTGGGACTCCCTGATACTAGTTTTTCTGCCTAGAATGCACATTTCCACACATTCAACATCTTCCTGTATCTCAAGATCCTGTTCAGTTGACGCGTCTGCCATAAAGTATCCCAATCCGGGGGTATCCCATGAGCTGGTGTATCTCCTGCCTCTCTAAGCTCCCATCAGATTGTACTCCTCTGTCCTCTCATGGCACTCTATCAAGCTATGAAAGGGTGTAGTTTGCCTCCCTTTCTAGGCTGTAAATCCCTAAAGGTAGGATCTCAGTCCAGTTTGTCTTTATGCTTCCCACAGTTCCTTTGTACAGCTGGCCCTTGAACAATATGGGAGTTAGGGGCACTGACCCTTGCAAGGTCAAAAATCCACATATAACTTCTGATTCCCTCAAAAATTAACTACTAATGAAATCTTGCCATTTGCAACGACTTGGTTGGAACTGGAGGGTATTATGCTGAGCAAAATAAGTCAATCAGAGAATGACTGTATCATATGATCTCACTGACATGAGGAATTCTTAATCTCAGGAAACAAACAGGGTTGTTGCTGGAGTGGTGGGGGGCGGGAGGGATGGGTGGCTGGGTGATGGACATTGGGGAGGGTATGTGCTACGGTGAGCGCTGTGAATTGTGCAAGACTGTTGAATCACAGATCTGTACTTCTGAAACAAATAATGCAATATATGTTAAGAAGAAGAAGAAGATAGTAGGAAGGGAAAAATGAAGGGGGGGAAATCGGAGGGGGAGACGAACTATGAGAGACTATGGACTCTGAGAAACAAACTGAGGGTTCTAGAGGGGAGGGGTGTGGGGGGATGGGTTAGCCCCGTGATGGGTATTAAAGAGGGCACATACTGAATGGAGCACTGGGTGTTATATGCAAACAATGAATCATGGAACACTACATCAAAAACTAATGATTTAATATATGGTGATTAACATAACATAATAAAAAATATTACTAATAGCCCACTAGTAATCAGAAGGCTCACCCGTAACATAAGCAGTCGATTAACACATATTTGTATGTTGTGTGTATTATATACTATATTCTTACAAAGAGTAAGCTAGAGTACAGAATGTGTTAAGAAAATTATAAGGAAGGGAAAATACATTTACAGTACCATACTGTGAAAATCCATATATAAGTGGACACACACAGTTCAAACCTGTATTGTTCAGGAGTCAGCAGTGTATAAGTGCTTAAACAGAGTCATTGGACAAATGAGTAAATAAATGAATGCATGGAGAAGTGTTTGAATGGTGGCCCCTCAAAACATATATCCACCTGGAACTCTGGATTGTGCAGATGGGCACTAAATCCCAATGTCAAGTATCCTTACGGGAGACATACAGAGAAGCAAAGGCTGTGTGAAGAGGGAGCCAGAGGCCGGAGTGTTGTGGCTGCAAGCTAAGGAACACCAGGACCATCAGAAGCTGGAAGGGACCAAGAAGGACTGTCCCATACAGCCTTCAGAGGGAGCATGGTCCCACCAATACCTTGAGTTTGAACTCGTGGCCTCTAAAACTCGGGGGGAATGGATTTCTGTTGTTTTTAGGTCATCAGCTTGTGGTGACTTATTCTAGCAACCACAGGAAATACACACTATCAAAAGAAACCAGCAGTTCACTAGGAGAAGATTATAGGGAGCTCTGTGCATCCCTGCCCACCCCGGCCACCACATAGGCAAACAGGGGCATCTCGTTCTACTTCTCCTATGACAATAATGTCCCACATCACTCAACTTTTGTCCATATGAATTCCCTGAAGTGGTTCTCACTCTTCCTTGCATTTTTCTCCTCTTACCTCATTTCTCTTGCCTGCTTTTTCCCTCACCTGCCTTCCTTATTAAGGAAGACTTTATCCAAGGTGGGGGGCATCACAATGGGTGTAGGGACTCCTGCAATGGGGTCTTGCAGGGGGAGGGAGAGATTGGACTCGACTCCAAACACAGCATGGCAAAATGGGAGTTTATAGATAGTAGGTCAGTGAATGAAGGGAGTAAGGGGGTGTAAGAGAGATTCTGAGGAAACCAACCTAACAGGATTCTTGTTGAAGGCAGGCCAGATGATCAGACATTACCTGGAGATAGTGAAAAATCAGGAACTCAATCAGATATCCAGAATGGGGGATCTGGTCAAACTGACTTGCTAGGATTTGTGCTAAAATTGGACAATGCAGACAAAGACAGAAGCCCAAAAGTTATGCCTTGTTGAAAAAGAATTCAGGGAGCCTGAACAGAGTCTGGTCAGGGAGTGACCAGCAAAGATCACAGTCTTAGCATTTTGAGGGCTTTGGGATTACAATTAGTTTAGCTTTCCTCTTGGTGCCAGAACTGCCTCCATATAGTCCTGAAAGGCTGTTGTCCCCCCTGCTGTGAACACACTTGTTGAAAAGAAATGCATTCCTTTGATCTCATTTGTACCCTGAGATGTGCTGGGTCTGTGAGGCCATGAGGTGTTGTAGAAAGATGGGAGGTGTGGGAGCCAGACAGACCTCAGTCCAAGTCCCAGCTCAGTCATGATAATACAGCATTGCAGAAGTCACTGACTTCCCTGGATGGGATTTTCTCACCTATAAAATGGAGCTCATTATCCACAGTGTATTGGGTTGTTATGAGAATAAGGGATGTTCTGTCACAGCGTGGGGGACCTTAGTAGATGCTTCCTAAATGAGAGTTACTGTGATATTTTCAAGTTGATCATGAGCCTGCCAGAAGAATTATCTATCTGCTTGTATCTACCTACCTACCTATCTCTAGAGATAGACAGATATCTACAGGCATACCTCAGAGATACTGTGGGTTCGCTTCCAGACCACCTCAGTAAAGCAACTATCACAATAAGGTGTGTCAAATGAAGTTTTTGGTTTCCCAGTGTGTATATAAGAGCTATATTTACACTATACTGTAGTCCATTAAGTGTGCAATAGTGTTAGGTCTTTAAAAAAATCAATGTATATACCTTAATTTAGAAATATTTAACTGCTAAAAAATGCTAACCATCATTTGAGCTTTCAGTGAGTCATAATCTTTGCCGGCGGGGGGTCTTGCCTCGATGTTGATGGCTGCTGACTGATCAGGGTGGTTGCTGCTGAAGGTTGGGGTGGGTGTGGCAATTTCTTGAAGAAGACAACAATGAAATTTGCCACAGCAACTGACTCTTCTTTCACAAATGGTTTCTCTGTAGAATGTGGTGCTGTTTGATAGCATTTTACCCATAATGGAACTTATTTCCAAATTGGAGTCAATGTTCTAAAACCTTGCTGCTGCCTTATTAACTAAGTTTATACAATAGTCTAAATCCTGTGTCATCATTTCAACAGTCTTCA